ACCGTTGATTTTGATATACTGCTTGGAATACTGGGCTCTCTTAACATATCTCCAACTGTGATTGATTTCTTCCGTAGTTACCTGTGTGGCCGCCGACAGCGTGTCGCCATTGAGGGTTTATACTCTTCCTGGTCTGATACGACTGCTGGCGTACCGCAGGGGGGCGTTCTGTCTCCTCTACTGTTCGCTGTTTTCATAAATTCCATCTCAAATAATCTTCTATCTTCCTACCACTTGTATGCTGACGATCTACAAATTTACTCTCAGGCACCACCTAGTGAATTCTCCGAGGCGGTCAAGATGGTAAACACCGACTTGGCACGGATCTCGGAATGGAGTACGGCTTATGGTTTAAAGGTCAACCCCGCGAAGACCCAAGTCATTGTAGTCGGTAGCCCTCGTCTGCGCTGCAAGATTGTATGGTCCCAAATCCCGCCGATTGTCTTTAACGGTGCTACAATACCATATAGTGATGCGGTAAGGGACTTGGGTATTGTCATAGACCAGGACTTCTCATGGGGACCTCAACTGGGACAAGTCAGTCGAAAAATTTTTGCGTCGACGAGGTCCTTGTTGAGACTCCGAAACTTTCTTCCAACTGCTACTAAAATTGTGCTTGCTCAATCACTTCTCCATCCCATCCTCGATTATGCTGACGTCAGCTATCCAGATCTTACCGAAGTGCAGTTAAATAAACTTGAGCGACTCCAAAATCTTAGTATAAGGTTTATATTTGGACTACGTAAATATGACCACATTTCAGAATATCGTGCTAAACTCAAGTGGCTGCCGATCCGCCTTCGCCGGAATACTCATATCTTATCTCTACTCTACAGTATACTGTTCAATCCTTCAACTCCCCATTACCTCAAAGAACGTTTCAGGTTCTTCCATGACACACATTCTAGACCAGTACGTTCATCGGAGGATTTGAAGCTTGAGATGCCCCAGCACGCGAGCAGATCCTTTGACCGATCCTTCACTGTTCGAGCTGTTCGACTGTGGAATGCATTGCCTCTTTCTGTAAGACGAGCACAGACACTCGCTACGTTTAAAGCACTCGTGAGGAAACATTACCTCACCACGGTGTAGTAAATTACTATTTGGTTTTCCCTGCCGACTCTTATCCGTCATGTGTATATATTTTATTTTTATTTATTTACATATCCTTATGTATATATGTGTGTGTATG